ATCAAATCTTCTGGGAAGCCGCACCAAGCACTGAATTAGGTGAATGCAGTGGAATTTCCTGAAGTATATGGAATATTGTGAATGCCCAAATTAAAAAACTGGGAGAGTTTACAGACCCCTCCCCCCAGAATTTTCCGCGATCATCACCGCTGATCTCCATCCTGGTAAGAAATGTCAGAATAAACGTCATCCGATTATCATAATCACCTTAATTTCTAAGTGTAAATTATCTTGTACGGGTAGGAGTAAAGATTTGTTATAGAGTTGAAAGATTTAAATCCAATTGTCCGCTATTTCCCAGGCTCTGCTGCCATCAGCAGTGGCCACATGGGTGATGACAACAGCCACGACCTCAGTAGCTGTTGTTCTTAAGATCATAAGTAACGGTCTTTGAGGTTAACGTGAGACGATTGTTGAGCCCAGCTAACATTCGGAATTTCCTTCACTGTTTCCCTTTATCCTTACAAATTTAATTACTGACTATGCTGTAGTTTGCATTTTCAAATTTTACCTACGTTTTATGTAAATGTTTCTTTGCGTAGACCAAAGTGGCGCCATTTTTCTCCTATCGGCAACATTCGGAATATTTTCCTCCCAAGGATGTTTTTTCCATGTCGTCATTAATTCCCAAGTTTCGCGGCATTCTAGCTGATGACTCTAAGTAATGCGAGTTAAAAACAACAAAAAAGAACTATATTTCTCAAGGCAACTGAATTACTTAAATTTATTTTTGCTCTGTTTATCGTTGTTTCTCGTAAAAATTTGAGAATCTGAGTAAAAGAGCTTGTAGGCGCTTGATATTTTAAATAATTTTTTTTTTTTTTTTTTTTTTTTTTTTTTTTTTTTGTTTAATATGATTTTTCCTCAAGTTGTGGAAATAGATTTTCTGTTATTGCATCGGTTGTGTTGATGATATCAAAGGTTTATTTTAACCTTCTTCAGGATGGGAATTATTTTATGAAGAAGTTATGGTGCGACCATAAATTTTCGATAATCTTTACGACCAGGAATTAATTTTCAGACTGATTTCGATCTGAAAGTAGATAACAAGTAGTTTTGACGTGCTATGTAGAATTAAAAAAATATTTAAATATTTTCTGTATAATCATTTATATGTAGCCTTCTTCGAGGCTTTCATTCAGCATTTTCACTATTTTTTTCAAGTAATTTATAGTTTCATGATTGATTTTCTTTTTTACTAAATTTATAATTCATTGACATTTTCGAAACTCTTTTATAATATATTTATAAAACTTGGTTTTTCCTTAATCTATGAGTAACTAAAAGATTCAACAACAAATTAATTTTATTAATTCGGAATTGTCTCTGGCGTCCTTGTGATACTATTGCCAATTTTCATATTTGAGGATTCAAAAAGTGTGTGTTTATAAAAAAGCACATTATTTAAGGAAGAGAAGTGTGAAATACTCAGGTTAGGTAAATGTTACTGAGTGCAATTTAATATCTTAATTCAGTATTGAAATTATTCAGGTTTTACAGAACTTTAAAAAATTGTGCTATTTGTACAAAGGTTTGAAAAATGTAGTTGGAATTTGTATTTTCTTAAACATTGCTGGTGGTGAGTACTCCATATCAAATCTTTCTAAAACGAATGTGGAGAAATTTGTGAAAACAACTTCAATAGGAATATGAGAGCTATGTAAAAACAGGTTTAATATTTTGTGTAGTATCCGTACGATACAATTCACTATCAATAAAATGTCCATAAAACTTTTATAAATATAGTGCAAACTATTGTGTATTTTAAAATAAGAAACTCGAAGAGCCTGTTTTACTAAATATAGAATCATTAAACTTCAGAAAAGAATTATTTATTTCACAACTTCTTTCTCTATCTGGACAACATCTTACTAAATTCATTAAGTAACTGGCATTTGAGATTGTTCTGAATCCGTAAATTTGCTCTTGAATATTTCCAAGAATACTGAATTTAAAATCTTTAAAAGCATAGGACTTAAGTTTAATCAATTTATTTATCTATATAGATATAATTATATTTTTTAATTTCTGTTTTCAGCTGAGTGCGTAATATAAAAATTCTAATCAACCATTTTCTAAAAATTAAATTCATAAACGTTTAGATCTTAACTTGAAAGAACGTGTAATTGACAGAATAACGAAAGGCCTCGTTGATACTGGTTTAACGACCCTTTAATTATTTCATGTGTAAAATTTTCGCAGAAAAAAGCCATTGCGTAATATAAAAAGTGAACGCTTTCTACAAATTCAAAATTATATTATTTATATTAAACCGTATTATTAGAAGGTATTTATGGCTATTTTGCTTAGAACATTAAAATGCCAGAATAATATCCAACAGAATTTCTACGCGCATCTTTTGTTGCATAACGAATCAACGCGTCATTTGTTCAAGATTACTTACTGATTTTATCATTTTGTGAATAGTGTTATATAGATGTATTTATAAAAGTAATGAAACGGTGCTCTGTGGCAGCAAATTAAGCATCTAAGATGTTATATTGCGTGGAAACATGCTGCAGTTCGCATCTATTTGGTACGCCCATTGAAAGCGTATATGTAATAGTGACTGGTTGTTGATGATCATGACACCTTATGCGAAGATTGATGAGATGCGTAACACTGAGAAATGGCGAAAATGACTGCCTAATAATTAAGTGTCCTCCAGTCAGTAATCCAGACTCCCATTGATCATCATTCCTAATACAGAACTATAATGAATAATAATTATAATTACAATGAATAATAATAGAATTATAATAAGAATTATAATAAGAATTATGATATACACCGAATGACAACACTATGCAGTTTATTACTACTTCTAGCACTGGTGCGACACCACTGCAAAGATTATATAGGAGAGTCCGATATTAGTGGCTATTTTTGCAAAGGACTTACTCCTAAAACACTGTCTCAATCAATAAATAACAGATTGTCTGCATCGATAACGAAGTTTCCAGATGTCTCCATATAACTTCCACAATATTTGCGCATACTAGTAATCAGAGAAGTCATATTTTGCAGAATGCTATAAAATACCAAAATAGCTTGTTATTGAAATTACTGCAATGCTGTTGATTGATTGACTATACTAATGTCAAAGGATTAATGTAAACTATACTAATGTAAAAGGACTTAACACCTACCTAACTTACAAGGTAATATTTAATGTATATTTGTCTAAGTGTAACTAATACATGCTTACTTTACACATAATGAGAGAAATATGAAAATGCAGATTCAGTCAGCTCCTTCCACTTTAGGCATAGAGCTCACAAATAACCTGTTAAAGTTTTGATTATTGAACAAATTAACTATATTTGTACTGTTTTCCATCACTTATTACATTTAATATTGGAGACTTTAATCTGTGACGGTTAAGAATATGAATCAGCTTCTATACATATGACGACTGAAAAGCACAAAACAAGAAATGTCAATAAATTTGCCTTTGTTTTATTACGATTGAGACAAGTGCCTTCTGTAGACACGAAAATTGTACCGTTACATTTGAGTAGAAGAGGAAACTAGGATTGAACAATTTGGTATGCAAGCACAGCTGCTAGCTATCAGCACAGTGATTACGCACACTTATATATTGTGTACCAGCAACAGAAATTCTCCATACTCGACGACTCATCGTCACGTCTAGCAGCTATCGAATGACATAATAGTAGAAATCGCTTAGTATAACGAATTCAGAAACAACTTGTGACTATGCCTACCTCCCAAAGACCCACTCTGAAATGAGTTCCTGCTCTTACAGGAATTCAAGGCAATGATATCGTCGACCACCTGGACAAGCAGATAGCTAATGGCATGGAACTGGAATTACTAGAATAATCCATTAATTTAATTTGTCTCACATTAAAAGAACAATTTTATAAGCTTGCTACAAAATTGAAAAAGAAGATGGTCAGAACCAGAGGTAGGACGAAGGACACAAGAATTTGGCACTCAAAGAAATCAGTGGACTATGCCTGGCCAACGTGTACGTCCAATATACTCAAAAATAGAAAAGTCCTGATAACACAGAGAAAGTCTCAATACACTGAGTAAGCATAAACCACTTTGATTAGCTTTGCGTTTAAAATGGATGAGAATTTATGCGGATAATCAAGAAAACGTTTAGAGTTTCCGTTTATCAAGCTAAATAATGACCGAACTACTTTTACCATACATTAGCAAGGCTTATTTCTATAGACCAAATATTTGAAGTCTGCAGCGTTTGTTTCAAGTACCCAGAATGTGAATCAATGCGAACAAACTTGGACTAGTAGGACTTTGTAAGATATGGAAGCAGCTATTTGTACATAATATTAAACATTGTAACGTAAATAATTCAGTACTTAGTAAAATGAGTATAAGGTTGGTTGTATTAGAATTTCCGAATAATATTTTGTACTCTTATTATTATTATTTTTATGGATATTATTATTCTCATATTTTATTTAAAACATTTTTGAAAGAATGTGTGTACTTTTTTATTGCAGTATTTGTTTATGGTGTAAATATTAATTATTAGGACCAAAAGTAAACACCATGTAGCGTTAAAGTATTTTTTCCCTTATACTGTACAGTAAGTTATTAATATTTCCCGACGAACTGCTGCCCTAAGTAGTTCTATTTTGTATACATGACAAGCATATAATTGCATTAAAAAAGCAAGGACCATAACAACATATGGATGTGTAGTAAGCACAGTACAAAGTATTACTTTTAGTATTTAAGTTCTACTGTCCATATTCAGAAAACTAGTTTCATTTCTCTTCTGTATATAACTTGCCTCAATGCATATATGATAATCTTTGCGGCGTTCCATATATTGGTTTTATACACATATAGCAGTAGTAAATTCATATGCCTATGGACATGACAACAGCTCTTAATGTACTTGTTTCATATACATATTACTGAAGTATTTTGTGTATATTTATTTTTATATGACATGTACACCTTTTTCCCCTTACTGATTTCTTTTCTTTTTAAATGTTTAGCATAAATCTTGAAAAATCAGAAAATATTAGCAAACTACACCTTTCGTATTTACGTTACCTTCCTTACTGGTAAGTAAAGTAGAATTAGTTCCCTGTGAATTGGATTTTCTGTAAAAAATAGTATTATTTAGTAATAATTAATTTCCTTCTGTACAAGAAGACATGATCTCAGAACAGTAAGCGCAGTACATAGCGGGCAATATATGCAAGTCTATTCTTAAGTATTGGTTCTTAGAGAATTGTTTTTCAATTGTAAACCACAGTAATATTTTGCTTTTATCTGCTTATATATGTTTCATGCATTTATACATTATAACGTTATATTCGCATTTTCATTGTTAACACACTGTATTATTGTGCAAGATTCCTCTGCAGTATCATACTGATTTAGTAAGTTGGCTGATTTTACTTATATTTTGCAATGAAATTTTTAGAATCACTAATACGGATGTCTAAAGGCATCTCCACACAATTTATCTTGCAACGATATTTTTGAACTTTAGAATTCGCACACAGCAATTATGCCGCTCAGTGTTTTGGTATCTTTTGTATAACATTAAGATGTTATTATTATTAATTATTTTTCCAAGTTTCATCAGATAGTTAATTTACCCATTTGGATGGTACAGAGTTCAATTTTTTTCACTTCACCGTGGTCGGAAGCCATCTCATCGGATCATTCGCTCACTTAAGGAGATTGTCATTTCTACGTGGACAGTTCGGCAGTGTTGGTCACGAATTACGAGCCACTTTGTCTTATAAATTTATTTTGAGAGGTATTTCTCTGCAAGGAAATAATTTTTAACATTGTCATAATAATTAATTTAAGCGTGCCTAAATTTTACATATATTACTATTATTATCCGTTACAATGGTATTTCCGTAATCTGTACTACAATCAGTTTAATATTCTATATTATATATATCATACATTATGTAAACATTTTCCGTCTTATACTTCGTTTAATTTGTCCCCTTATCTTATCTTAGGAAAACAAGCCGCATGTTTGTAATTTCAAGATCATAACAAAGCAAATATTTTCCCTCTTCATTATGCTCATCCATCTCCTAATGTTATACATTTTAAGTAAAAATAAATAAATACTTTTAATTAATGCAGTTAGCATTTTCTTTTCAGAACAAAGCAAACATGCATTTATGTAGCTCGATTTATCTCACAATTCATTTAGAAACCAACATATTATTACGAAATGTATTCGGATTCTAAAACAAAGAGTTATATAGAAATACTGAGGTTGATCCTAACTCTTGGGAAGTCCAATTAGGTAATTTGATAAAATAATGAGAAGATTAGAATTACTGTATTCTTTAAAACGTATAATAAATTAAAATTAAAAGTTAATTAACTTTTAATTAACTTTTAGATGTTATAATAAGTCAATTAACTTTTAGGAGAAATGCATAAAACAGAAAAAAAAATAATTGGTTTGACATTCATTTGTGTATTTTTCTATTATTTCCTCTTTCGAACATATGAATTGATTGCAGTAAATGTTAGACAAATGAAATTGGAAACATATTTCACAATTACTACATATGAAAAGGCGAAATAAATGAGATATTTTTTCCAATGTTTGTAATACAGAAATGGTTTTACCTCATTTAACAGTCAACGCACTTTTGAAAATAAAATTAAGTGTATAAGATTTATAATGTCTTATTTAGAATTTAAAAACAATTACTTGAGGCCTTAAAAAGTATGTGTGTGCAACAAAAGGGAAACCAGCCTGTTTTTGTGCTAACAAAGACACAAAATAAACACTTACTGAGGCTTGTAGGAGTTAGAATGAGAGAGATACTTCGATTAATTTTCTTAGATTATTTTAGCATCAAACTCTAATTTTTAAGTATATTTTTTTAGTTGAGAATAAGTCTGTTGTATTTACCTTTTTCATTGTATCAACCCCCTGATGATGCAACGAAACATATATATATATATATATATTGTTTTTACATTTTTTAAACCTGTCAAGCAAGTTACCACTGTGTTTCTGTGTTTTTTTTTTTTTTTTTCCCGTGTGGTTTGTTTCGAATGTAACGGAGATAAAATACACATATTAATTTAATTTATTTTATTTCGCACCCACAAAGGACATATAAAGTGCACTTAAAGAGCGCAATAAATGTCAAAAATGCAGTTGAATAATTTGCTTCAGATCCACGGTTGACTTCGGTTTATTTACGTCATTATGACAAAGCACACGCGGGTTATCTACCTAATGGCGGTGATGGTTTCATAAAGAACATTCTAAGGAAAAGTGTCTGGTACCAACGAATTACATGCAGAAAATTGCGAAAATGCCCATGAATTTATGCCCATTCTAACTGAGATGGAACTACCAGTGTACAGCGAGTTTAGCGCTTGATCACTGGTTTGTCTCAGATCCGTGGATGTGAAGTTGCAATATTTTTCTAAAAAATTACAAAACGTGCAGGAGTATGATGAACAAATTCAAATGTACTTTCTGTGCTAAATCTCTGTTATCAGCGTGAGTTCAAAAGTGCTGGATTAGATCTGAAAAGTAAACTAAAATATTTCGTTTTTTCCTCACTATTTATGAAGAATGATTTAAAACTGCAAATTTTAAGTATTCTAACAGAAACCTTTTCTTTCACTGTAAAAAATATTCAATATGTATTAAAACATACATCACGTTTTTTGACTTATACATAAGAAATAGTCAAATTAATCGAAATAAAAGAAATATAACTCAGATCATACATAGGAAGCTTCAACTTCGAATACTTGTGCAACAGGTGAACAAATGGGCATTTTTACTGGTTAAAGCTTGAAAACGGGAATGGGTATGGGATACAAACGATTTGTTTTCATATATTTTTTATTGTAAAAAACGATTACACAACGCATTATCTGCTAAAGGAGATTCGAAATTGAACTTGACAAACTCCAGTTTAGTATGTAATTTCTAGTTTTATTTTAGTATTAACATTATTTTAGACCACAAATGAAGTGTAGTTGAAAATTCACTAGCTATACTTTAAGTAATAGTTTTAACTTAAATATCCTTTATATATTTAACAACTATATATAATTTTGTTTTACATAATTGATTTGGATTTCGGAGCATTGTGATAAATGTTAATCAAAATATTAACAATGATTCCCATATTTAAATTAAAATTTAATAATCTTTTGTAAGAAAAGAGATTTAAAAATAATTTGAGTTTATGATTTAATTGGATTAGTTTTGAATTGACCACAAACGTAACTTAAGCTTATTTTCTTTTTTGAATTGATTTTCGTTTAATTTAAGCTGCTTCCTAATTTTATGAAGTATTAACCTTAAGGGAAACTGTTAAACATAGAAAATGCCGTGGTTCGCAAAGCAAATATTTATTACTGAGATATGCAGAGTAATACGCAGAGTTACATGCAAACAGAGATAAGCATAAGCAGAGTAATATAAGCACTAGCACAGATAAATAAGTCCAGGCAGAATAATACTCAGCAGCGATAAGCCTTTGTCTTTGATTTTTGAATGGTTAGGAGGCAATTAGCAGCCTCTGCTGCTTTAACCACCGCTTTTGAAAAAAATGCCCTTAGGCGTTGGTATATACAATTGAAAAAATGGGCGTGTAACGCCGCGCCTACTAGGCGAAGCTGAAGCAAATACAAAGGTATGTAGAGTGAAAAAGCATCTGGGAGCTGTTCGAGCTGTGACAAAAGATATAACTAGCTGAAAAGTATGCTTAATAAAGCATTTGAAAAAATAAACATTAAGTAATTTAAATTAAGTATGCTTTTGAAACAGGTTCAGAATGAAAATGGATCGTAATTATACTGGTGGGAGTGGCTCAAATGAGGATAAGTCAACAGTAACATATTTTGGTGAATTTCAAGCGTTTCTCGTACGAGAAATGTTAAAGTCATATAAATTAACAGTATTCACAAACAGTTCACACTGTACAAAGTTCTGGAATAAACACACTTTTTAAGAAAAACACTTATAATTTTAAAAGACACAATATTTCAGCATAAGTCACAGTTTAGAAGGCGGGATGGTGAAACACACATAATTAATTCAGTTTGTGTGTCCCTAACAAAGTCTTTTTATAGGAACACTAAAAAAAATATAAAATTCTTGAAAATAATGATATAAAGTAATAATCCACTGAGCTTTTTTAAGTCCTAAATAAGTTGAAAAAAAAAAAAAAAAAAGTCTCTAGTGGGGAAATATTTACAGTATGTACAGCTATTTACAAGTTTCACCACCTTGGATTATGAAAAATGCTCCTAGGACGATTAGCAGCATTTTCAAGTGTTGGATCATAATTGATTAGTTCCTTAATATGATCATATTGAGACTGTTCAATTTTACTAAAAAGTTGTGGCAGGTTGAAATAATTTGGTCAGCAATTGGTCTGATTTTTAATTCTTTGTGTATTTGCAAATTTCTAACGAACCAAGGAGAATTAACTATTCTCTTAGAATCTTGTTTTGAAAGACTTGTAACTTGTTGTCTGTACGTTTTGAACACTGTAGCCCATATGGGAATTGCATAAAGTAGTGTCGGTCTAATCAGCATCATGTAAACTCTTTTCTTTAATTGAATGTTTAATTTGAGTCTCTTTTGATGAGGGGGTACAGAGCCATTTTTGCGGCTGTAGCTTTCCGTAAGGCATATGCAGTCTGTTCCTTGAAGAAGAGTTGTGAATTGAAAATGACACCCAGGTATTTAGTACTATTGACGACGGGGAGTGGCTGCTTTCTATCTTTATTTACGTTTACTGGAGTAAATTTTCTATAACTTCTAAAGAGCAGAATTTG